GGGGCTGCGGAAGATGGGCCAAGACCTGCCCCTGTGCCTACTGCAGCCTCACAGCCCACAGTTCCTTTCAAAGGTGCACAGATTCATGCGCTGGGCCCCCAGTATTATTATACTTACTATAGTTATACATATAATTATTAAGTTTAAAACGCAGGTTAATCCACTCATCTGATCAATCGGGGAAAAGGAGACATATGTAAAACTTTAGACAATAAAAAAAAAAAAGCAGGTTAATTGAGTATTGTATGGATGAGGGACAAAAGAGTCACTTAAACAATGGAGTAACCTGACAGGCACTACTTTAGCCAGGTGATCAAAGTCAGTCTCAACAGTCAAATTATGTCAGGGGTCCTCAAACTTTTTAAACAGGGGGCCAGTTCACTGTCCCTCAGACCGTTGGAGGGCCGGACTATAGTTTAAAAAAAAACTATGCACACTGCACATACCTTATTTTGAAGTAAAAAAACAAAATGGGAACAAATACAATATTTGTATTTGCATGTGACCCGCGGGCTATAGTTTGAGGACCCCTGAATTATGTTGATAGTATGCACCTTTTATATGATATGATGAAAATGGCACTTTACTTCTGTGATCTTCGTCCCTCAAACTTATAAGCTCATTCTAACCATGAGAAAAATATAGACAAATTGTAATAGCTGGGGCATCCTAAATTATGCCTGAATAATAATACTCAAAACTGTCACTGATGTAAAAATAAGTATTGTCACAGTTAAGAGGTGCTGACTTGACACTAAATGTATTATGGTATTATGGATCAGATCCTGGAACAGAAAAGGTGATTAGGTAAATAATAAACTATCGACTTCAGTTAAAAATAATGTATGAATATTGGTTTATTAATGTACCATATTAATTTTAGAGGTGCATAATAGGGGAAACTGGGTGTGTGAGAGTGGGAAGTTTAGGAGAACTAGGTTTTTCTGTAATTATAAAAAATGTTTTAAAAATAAATTATATATTTTTTAAAATGCAGTTTAAAAGGCATAATTACAATGGTTGTTCTTTTTTTTTTTAAGTCTAAGTAACAATCCCAAATTTATCATTAGTCTACTCTGAGAGATGAGATTATGGAGGAAACTCCATACTGTTTTCCATAATGGCTTCACCAGTCTGCACTCCTACCAGCAGTGTACAAGGGTTCCCTTTTCTCCACATCTTTGCCAGCAATTGTCATTTGTTGATTTGTTGATAGTAGCCGTTCTGACAAGTGTGAGGTGATACCTCATGGTCGTTTTAATTTGCATCTCTCTGATGATCAGTGACTTTGAGCATTTCTTCATATGTCTTTTGGCCAGCTGTATTTCTATTTTGGAAAAGTGTAAATTTAGGGCCTTTGCCCATTTTTTAAATTGGATTTTCTTCCTTTTGTTAAGTTGTATGAGTTCCTTATAAAATTTGGATATTATCCCTTTATCAGATATATCATTGCCAAATATGTTCTCCTATACAGTAGGTTTCCTTTCCATTTTGTTGATGGTGGTGTTGTTTTCTGTGTGTGTGTTTTTTTGCTGTGCAAATGCTTTCATTTTGATTAACCCCATTTGTTTATTTTCTTCTTAGTTTGCTTTGCCCTAGGATATGTGTCTGCAAACATATTGCTGCAAGAGATGTCTGTGATTTTGCTGCCTATAGTTTCTTTGAGGGTTTTTATGATTTCCCATAAATGGCTTACATTTAAGTCTTTTATCCAATATGAGTTTAGAATTACAGGCAATATCTCTGATGAACATAGATGCTAAAATCCTCAACAAAATATTAGCAAACCAGATCCAGCAATATATTACAAACATTAAATACCATGACCAAGTAAGATTTATTCTAGGGATGCAAGACTAGTACAATCTTCACAAATCAATAAATGTGATACATCACATAAACAAATTTAAAGACAAAGATCACAATCATATCAGTAGACATAGAAAAATAATTCTATAAAATCTAGTATGCATTTTTTATAAAAACTCTCAGCAGAGTGGGAATAAAGGGATCATATGGTATATCAACATAATAAAGGCCATATATGACAAATCTACAGCCAATATCATACTCAAAGGACAAAAATTAAAACCATTTCCCCTAAGAACAGGAACAAGACAGGGATGCCCACTTTCACCACTCTTATTCAACATAGGACTGAAAGTGCTAGCCACAGTGATCAAGAAGAAAACATAAAAGCCATCCAAATTGGAAAGGAGGAAGTAAAACTGTCATTATTCATAGATGACATGCTATTGTGCATAGGAAAATCAAAAGACTCCACCAAAAAGCTACCAGATTTAATAAAGGAATTTGGCAATGTAGCAGGATACAAAATTAATACACAGAAATTGATGGCATTTTTATACACCAATAATGAAATCTCAGAAAGAGAAACTAAACAAGCAATCCCATTTACCATAGCAACAAAAAAATTAAGATAGACCTAAGAGTAAACTTAGCCAAAGAGGTAAAAGACTTGTACTTAGAAAACTACAAGACATTGAAAAAAAGGAAGATATAAACAAGTGAAAGAAAGTACCGTGCCCATGGACTGATAGAATTAACATCATTAAAATATCCATACTACGCAAAGCAATCTATAGATTCAATGCAATTCCTATTACCAATGGCATATTTCACAGATCTAGAACAGATAGTCCAAAAATTTATATGGAACCAAAAAAGACCCCAAATATCCCCAGCATTGGAGGGATTACAATACCGGATATCAAGTTATACTGTAAGACTACTGTAATCAAAACAGCCTAGTACTCACACAAGAACAGATATATAAATCATTGGAAGAGAACAGAGTCCCCAGAAATTGACCCAAGCCATTATGCTCAATTAATGTTTGACAGAGTTAGGCAAGAGCATACAATGGAGTCAAGACAGTCTCTTCAACAAATGGTGATGGGGAAATTGGACAAATACATGCAAAAAAAAAATGAAACTAGACCACCAATTTACACCATACACAAAAATAAACTCAAAATGATTAATTGCTTCTTTAATAGTATTTTTTTTAATTTTAAAGTTCTTTTATTGGTTATTGAGGTCTTTTGAAGGAATGCTGCCTAAGTATGAAATCTTTTACTGTTATAGTGACAATATCTACTGATGGAGCATTTTTAATGTCTTCATGACTATTTGAATTATTTATCATTGCAGCTTCCTAAATGAATATTTATGTTTTTCCATTTTTATCAATTGCATTTTAATTTAATGATGACTTAGAAAACTCACTTATTAAAAAACATAGGACTGTTTATTGGATATACCACTAAATTAAGTTATATTTTCCTCTTTTATTCTAAATTTTTGTTTGATCTTAAACCATTAAAATTTCTTTGTAAATGATGGGATATTTGATATATTCTTCATAGTTTGTTTGTTTTTTTAATGAAACCTGGACAAGAACAGGCAGTCTTTGATTATTGTTTAGATTGGCATCCCGACCAAAGGATATAATTACTGGGGGGAGAAATGGGTGTGGTAGGTAGAGGAGGCTATAGGGGGGACAAATGCTGATGGACAGAGACTTCACTTAGGGTGGTGAACATACAATACAGTGTACCAATGATGTGTTGTGGAATTGTGCACCTGAAGCCTTTATAATTTTGTTAACCAGTGTCATCCCAATAAATTAAAAAAGGAAAACATTTAAAATAATCTAAAAATGATGTAGTTTATAAACATTATATATTGGGTTACATAATAGGAAGAAAAAAATAAAAGAAATCAAAGTCATACAATTATTAAAAGGGCGATGAAAGAATCGGGCAAAGTCCTTTAGAGTTTGGAAGGAAAGCCTTAAAGTGTTTTAATTTTATGTTCAACGCAAGGTAATAGAATAAGTTTTATTATATTTTAAGTGTTTTAAAGGTACAATATATGAACAACACTGAGGAAAAAGTTTACTAGTATGATAGAATAAAGGTTGGGAAACAAATCAGGTAATTTATATATGAAGGAAATATAATAGTATAAATCACAGATAGGTGCTACCACTAATTATAAAAATTACAGCTTAGAATTAGGAAAATTTTGCCAATCCCCTAAAAAAAGAAAAAAGTAGTCAAAACCAGAAAAGGGTAATATTTCGCATTCTTGGTTCATAAAAGTTAGACATATATATTTTTCTTATAGTCTTTAAGAATATCATTTAGGAAACATGGGGATATATATATATATATTTAAATTATTTTCAGGGCTACTCGATCCATATTATTAATACTAGAATCATAAGATTTGACTTTGCTTGAAATCAACAAAAACTGTTTTCACTAAGAGTTATTATATTTTATTTTTTGTAAATGAAGTTGTTAATTTGAAATAGCATATATGCATGGATTTTAATGTTTCAAGCATATTAAGTTAGGATGGCAATAGAATTTTGCAGAATGCTAGTTTTCATAAACAGGTTTTTTCAAGCTTAATGTTTCTATGATTTCTGTTGTTAAAATGTGGTGCTTACCATTAGCAGTTGATCTGACATAAGAATAAATTTCAAAAGAGAATACTGTACATTCTTTTAAAATTATCAGAGTTCTTTGAATTGTTATTATTAAATGATAATGCATTAAAAGCTAATTAGGCCTATAGTACTATTCATTTCCTTTTCCCAGTTTTAGATCCCATGGTATTGCATAACTCTTGATGATCAGATGGTGGGTTGATTATTTAATGAGGAAATACATATGTGTATAATCATAAAATTGAAATAATTTATAAGTCAGTGGTGTGTATCATGAAACCATGCTTTAAATTTTTTCTCTTGCAAGTCTGTATGAAAATATTATTTATGAACATGTTTATACAGACTCTTGGTTATTTTGTAGAATGATAGAAGTTAAGCTAGTGCTAGTTTACAGTTTATTATTGAAATGAAATTGTCATTCTCTGAGTAAATATGACACATATTATATTTAAATATTTGCATGTATGTGAGTAATATGAGCTGTACTTTTATTCGCAAATACGCTTTTTAAAAATAGGTATTTCAACGGCCATCTTTATCGAGTTTGGAAACCTTAATGGTGTCTCAGAAGTCTGAAATTGAGTATTTACAGGAGAGACTAAAAATAGCAAATGAAAAACTGTCAGAGAACAGATTGATCAACCAGGGTTCCTCAGAAAAGAGCATCTGTACAAATGTTGAAGGGAAACAAAAGGTAGGGGCATTTTTGTCATTTTTGTGAATTTGTCAGAATGAAGTTGGCAGTGCAAGCAATAAAGTTAAGTAACAAGCAGGCACATTTACTTCTCTGCTTTTAAAAAATATTATGTGCCAAACATTCAATAAAATAATTGAGAGAAGAATGTTTTTCCTTTTTAAAGTGTTATTATACCTGTTTTGCAGTAAATTAATGTCCATATATTAATTTATCTATAGATTAGATAAATGCATTAATTAGATACATTAATCTGCATAATAATTTTAAGGTGGTATAGTCACTAATTCAATATTCTAATTTTAATTACAAGAAATAGATATCTTTTTATTCAATTAAATTTAAATACTGCCCATGTGGAATATAAAATATTAAATGGAATTTAACATTAATATGTACAGTTATAAATACTGAGATTTAAAGGCATAGCAATAGTGAAAAATAAACAATTTTGTAGCATGTTTGTTGTCTATTAATGTCTCAGGTTTCCCTTTTCATAGTATTCATTATATATTCCTGTTATGATGCAAAAAATTTTTTGAACATTGACTAATATTAAAACTTCATATCACATTGTAAATATGTTATTTCTAGACAAAATTGAAATAACATTTCCCTAAAAATAAGTTTTAGACATATTTTTCTTATATTTGTTAGTTCAGCAATAGAAAATAATGTTTTTATTAAGTAGTAAGCCATGATTTTAAGATAATTGTTTTTGGTTCTTTTCGGTTTTTCCTGAGTGGAACAAATTATCTGAATAAAGAAAGCATTTAAAATTAGATCCATGTTTCTGTGGTACTTTTATTTATTTTCTCTAATGTTAGTAATTTTCAGAAGAATGAACTTTATGTATATGTATGATATATGTACTTTTTTATTTAAGCATAACTGTATTTTATGTTTCTTGCAATTTTGGAGTACTTTCATGGCATTGAGCATTATTTAAGTGAAATAAGACATTCCTAAAATTGAAAGAAAACATTACAGGACCTAATTTGGTTACTAGCTTTATTGCTGAAGTTTAAAAAATGCATTGACTTGCTGATTCATTGCTTTTAAAAAAGTCAAGAAAACAAGAGGCATATTTTTAACAAAATTTTTTTCTTTCATATGGATATTCATTAAGTATGAACAATATGTTGCTCAGCTTAATAGTTGCTTTTACATATTCCTTCTCCAGATTGGTATATGAAGCTGTACATAATATAAACACACATTCATGTCTCTAGTTAGCCACATTATAGTTAATGACCATATGGTCATTACAGTATAAGATCTACTGTCTGTTGTATTTATATTCCTCAAGCATATTGTTCCTTCAACTTCACAGTGTGTTAAACTATTTCAAAGGGGAAAAAATCCTTTCCCTCTTGTTTCTGGTTGTCCTATCAAGTGTAACCTTGGACCCTTATAGAGCAATTAGACCAGCCTCTATCCCCTCCTTTGTAATGAGGTTTCTTGCATTTCTGAGTCTATAACCCTTTAGTCTTCCCTAATGGGACATCATTATTCTGAAAGAAACAATGTAAATGTAAATGAATATTCTCATTAACGAGTCACAGAGAAACCTTTAGCAGTAGCACTGTAGTAATTCCGCTTGTTATTTCTCTGGTATTCCATGCAGGATTTTTTTATAATTCATTATTAGTATTCAAAATTACGTGTTCTTTAATTTTGCATGTCTTTCATAATCCAGTGTTCCAACTAGTTCAACCATGTCCTTGTTTTATTCTCGAGGAACCACCTGTGAAACGTTCAAGGTCTTTGTCCCCAAAGAGCTCTTTTACAGACTCAGAGGAGCTAAAGAAGCTGAGAAAAGCTGAAAGAAAGATTGAAAACTTAGAGAAGGCACTACAACTAAAGGTGAACATTAAATCATTCCTTTAGTAATAACCTTACAAAGGTAAAGATAGAGAAAGTAAACATTCATTTCACAAACTACTGCTTATCCTTTATCTTTCCTGAATTTAAATGTATGTATAAAAATGTGTAATCTGTTGGTCTTGTTTTAAGATTTCTGAGGATCATAAAGTAATAAAAAATTGCTGTTTGAAAACTATCACTTTAAAATTATTGGGGAATATTTTGGCTTAATATTGGAAATACATTTATTATAGTTTCTCAGAGGAAAAAAATAGAATTTTAACAACTAAAAATCAATTGCTTGTATTTTTTTTATATATGACTAGAGGCCCGGTGCATGAAAATTCATGCACTGGAGGGGGGGGGGTCCCTCAGCCCGGCCTGCCGCCTCTCACAGTCCAGGAGCCCTTATGGGCAGGAGGCAACCCGGCAATCGGGAGGTGATGCCCCCATCACACCTCTGCTGCTGCCACTGCCGGCAGCACAAGCCTTGGCCGGCCCTGGTTACCTGAGCCTCAAGTGGCCCTGGGTGGCTGGGCAGCCACCCCTAGGCAGCTGGGGGGCTGAGGGGACTGCCATTGTGTGGCTGTGGGCGCCACCATCTTTGAGGGTGGGGCAGTCAATTAGCATATTCCCTCCTTATTGGCTGTGGGTGCCGCCATCTTTGCGATGGCATGAGGGTCAATTAGCATATTCCCTCTTTATTATATGGGATAAACAAAAAGACTGGTGAGTTAAAAACTATACAAGCTAGCTCAGGCCACTTAGTGTCCTTTACAGAAAAATTACATAGTCAAAATGGTAAATAAATATACATTATTTTTTCCATTACAATTGAATTTGTTTTAGAATATATGACATTAGAATTGGCATTCTACCAGTGTTTAAGAAGTATATACCTTTCAGCTTATCTTTGAGAGTTTATTCTTTCCAAGTTATACTCTGAATTCTATTTCTCAGCAGAAGTTGGTTGTGCATATTGAACCAATGTTATATTGAGGACTTTTATTTTTCTGAGATTTTAATGTGGTTAATCTTGTCATTCTTCATTTACAACTACCTGAAGGCCTGCACTATTTGAGATTTGCCACTTAATTGATTCTCAAATAGTTTTATGATATTCTATGACAAGCCCAACTTACACATGATTAGTCTAATATATTTAAAGCTTAGATTCTTTGTCATATAATATAGATTACTCTTAAGGAGAAAGAGGTTTGACTTATATATAGTCTAGAACAGGGGTGGGCAAACTTTTTGACTCAAGGGCCACCATGGGTTCTTAAACTGGACCGGAGGGCCGGAACCAAAACATGAATGGAGTGTTTGTGTGAACTAATATAAATTCAAAGTAAACATCATTACATAAAAGGGTACGGTCTTTTTTTTTTTAGTTTTATTCATTTCAAACGGGCCGGATCCGGCCCGTGGGCCGTAGTTTGCCCACGGCTGTTCTAGAACATAATATGGTTTACTAGTAGAGGTATAGTTAACCATGGCTACAATTACTAATTTTTTTGCCTTTTCACTAAACATTGTGTTAATTCCTATTTATTCAGAGTTAAACTGTTAGTTCTCAAATAAAGGAAAATTATTATCTACTAGGGACTTGGTGCATGAAGATTCATGCAGTGGCGGGTGGGTCCCTCAGCCTGACCTGCACTCTCTCCAATCTGGGAGCCCTCAGGGGAGCCCTCTCCAATCCGGGAGTTTCTGTCTGTCTTTGCAGTCATATGAGCGAATTGTCTGAGACCCCCAACCCAGTTTGGTTTGTTGCTCACAGAATAATAGAGGCATTTTTTTTTTCTTTGCTTCATTGGACATTTCCTGAAATTTTTAGGATATCTTGCCTTTAATTTTTCCTAGACACTCTGATTTTACTTATGTCTCTCACCTTTGCTTTCCCTCCATCCCCCACTGCAACAGTAACTTGCTCCAGGCTCACTTTGCTCTATTGTCTAGGACAGGGGTCCTCAAACTACGGCCCGCGGGCCACATGCAAATACAAATATTGTATTTGTTCCCGTTTTGTTTTTTTACTTCAAAATAAGATATGTGCAGTGTACATAGGAATTTGTTCATAGTTTTTTTTAAAACTATAGTCCGGCCCTCCAACGGTCTGAGGGACAGTGAACTGGCCCCCTGTTTAAAAAGTTTGAGGACCCCTGGTCTAGGAGATCCATCTGCCACCAGAACTATGATTCCCAGAATTCCTGGTGCTCCTGCGCCCTTGGTTTTTTCGCTGTCCCGCCCTGCATCCCGGCCGCTCTGCACATGCGCACTGCCTATGGGCCCGTGACGGTGATGCGGAGGGTGTTCCTGTCCCGTCCCTGCCCACTCCGGGCCTATGTGTGGGCCTACAGGCTCAGAGAGGCCTGGGTCCGGTGTCCTCGGGACCCAGGTTGCTTGGCGCTGGCATGCGCGCAAGTGGCCACCCTGCACCCAGCTACTCCGTACCTGTGTATGCAAATTAAACTGTCATCTTTGTTGGGTTAATTTGCATACTCACGCCTGATTGGCTGGTGAGCATAGCAGAGGGATGGTCAATTTACATGTTTCTCTTTTATTATATAGGATTGTTTCTACCCAAAATAAAATGATCATATTATGACCTCAGCTTGTTAGCAGTTAGCCTACTTAAATTTGTATGCCTGGAGTTATTTGCCTATTTATCTGTTTACTCCAGAACTTATGAAGCAATGCAGTTAGCCAAGCAAAGTGCTAGTCACTTATACAATAGGAGAAAAGATGACTTTCTATCTCTAAGATCCTTTCTCTAGATAAGAACATGCTAAGTGATTAAATAAATATAGTATTTCAGTGTCAACATTTGGGTATTACAGGATATTATGGGCATGTTTAGGAAGTCAAATTTATCATTTTCACCTTTTTGCATAGTTCTTGAAATTCACATACCACGGCTTCTATCCTGTATTAATCTGGATTCTACAGAGAATCAAAATCAATAGACTATAACCCTTTAATCTTCCTGAAATAGACATTATTATTCTAAAATATATATATATGTGTGTGTATATATAATATACACACACACACACACACACACATATATATATATATATATATATATATATATAGAGAGAGAGAGAGAGAGAGAGAGAGAGAGAGAGAGAGATTGATTTACTATAAAGAGTTGGCTCATGTTATCATGAAGTCTGAGAAGTCCAAGGTCTACAGTCATTAAGATCCATGAAAGCCAATGGAATAGGTCCGGCCTTGTCCAAAGGCCTGAGAACCAGGAGAGATGATGGTGTAAGTTCCAGTCCTGGTCCAAGTTTGAGTCTGAGGGCAGGAGCTCTTTGTCCCAGCTCAAAGACCATCAGGCATAAAGAAAGAAGTCTTTCTTACTCAGCCTTTTATTCTATTCAGGCCTTCAGTAGATTGGATGAAGCCCATCACATTGCAAAGGGCAATCTGCTTTTTAAAAAATATATATTTTTATTGATTTCAGAGAGGAAGGGAGGGTGAGGGACACACAGAGAGAGAAACATCAATGATGAGAGAGAATCATTGATTGGCTGCCTCCTATACGCCTCACACTGGGAATCAAGCCCACAACCCGGGAATGGAACGGTGACCTCCTGGTTCATAGGTTGATGCTCAACCACTGAGCCGTGCCAACCGGGCAGAGCAATCTGATTTTTTACTCTGCTAGTTTAAATGTTAATTTCATACATAAACACCCTCACAGATACACCCAAAAATAATGATTAACCCAATATCTAGGCAATGAAGTTGGCATATAAAATATCCCATTTAGTAGTAGAGAATCTCCACTCATTTGCCCCCAGTAGTCTGTGAGTCTTTGATAGACCCTTGTCTTTGGCAGGAAAGAATAAAACAATTCAGACATTTTTAGAGCTATTCTCTTCCACCTCTTGAATTTCTTATTTCAGAAAGTCTCAGTAGCATTCTACTAATTTATTTCCTCATTTATTTTATCTAATAACAGCTCTCTTGAATAAAGCCTCAAGTTTATTTTTCAAAGTAACATTGATTTTCAGACAATTTATTTTTCATGTATACTTTTTCTATATTCCTTTTTCAAGTTCATGTATGATAATCATGAATTTCAAATGTATGTTTTCTGTCACAGATTTGCCAGATAAGGCAAAAAATGGGAGCAATATTTTTCTGCATGTTATCATTTAGTAGGGAAGGATTTCTTATTTTAAAGGAGTAAAAGAATTGCATAAAATGGGTACTGTAATCAAGTGCATAAAGCAAAAGAAGTGGGTAAACAAAACCTGTATTGTAAAGCAATTCTAAGGAGAATGATTGGGCCCAGGGTGCTTTTTAATTTACATATATGCACTTTGATACATTGAAATGATGGTAGTTACTAGATCAGCCATAAGTTATGCATATTATTTTAATACTAGTTTTTGAGTTTTGTAAAAATATTAACACATTCTCTTGCTCAGCTTTCTTTTTTGGCTAGTTGTACAAGTTTTCAAGATGGGTGACCAGTGTTGTAATAAAAGAGCCAACAGTAATGGAAGCAATGAAACCTATTACAAAAATCCCATCCATTTTCAAATCCTGACTTCATGAATGTAGTGAACTAACAACTTACAAGTATAATTTGGAAAGCAATGCATCAGAGCTTTATGAAATTCATACTATCCTTGAGATCACTAATGCCATGAATCTCTGCTCTACTAACTTTCATGCATTTGGTAACTTGATTCCATTACCACTGTTCTCTGCCTTTTAATAACATCAATATGTCCTCTGATTACAGTTTATGTCTTATTTTTAATACACTCATATTTATGAGCTTTATACATTCTGCTGAAATTAAACATCAATGGAATACTTTATTCCCTGAAGATTGAGCCAATGTTTCATTAACAGTGTTTATACTCGTAGTTTGTCGTATGCCTGTCAAGGAGCCTTTGTCCAACTAGAAGACTAGACTAAGAATCATTCTGTTCTTATGACCTTAAAGTAGAATTGCATATATCATTGAAGAAAGTTTTACAACTTTCCTATTTTCTAATGTTTTAATTATTTAGACTTGTTTGTACATATAAGTTAAATATAGAAGTTAGAGCCTCTAGTTTAGCTAGTTTAATTGCAAAATACATAAAAGGTACTCAGTAAATGTTTTATTGAATTATCTGGGACCTAAATAATCATAATTCAAACTACAGTTAACCTGTATTTTTAGAATATTATAAAATTTTTTTGATTATTCTTTATAAACATTTCTTTTGAGATATATAACTTTTGACTGATATATCTATTCTTATAGTAAAATAAGAAAACTTTTATTTGAAATATATATAATCTATCTTTCTATCTATCTAGCTAGCTAGGTTATATTTATGTAACATTTTTAACCCTCATCTAAGGATTTGTTTATTGATTTTTGAGAGAGAGAGATCAAGAAAGAAAAACATCAGTGTGAGAGAGAAACATCGATTGGTTGCTTCCCATATGCTCCCTGACCCGGGATTGAACCTGCAACCTAGGTATGTGCCCTGGCTGGGAATCGAACCTGCAACCTTTTGGTGTGTGGGACAATGCTCCAACCAACCGAACTACCTGGCCAGGATTTTACTGTCTATTTTGAAGTAGACTAAAAGAACAATAGTCTCTAGGACTAATTTAACCCATGTATTACTGTTAAATATTAGCATTATCAAAGCACAAATTAATGGATGAAACTTTAGTTAAAATAATTATTATATATTATGTCCATGAAATTGATTTATCAAATCTCTAACTTGATTTCATTTTAAATAGTTTAGATTTTCATAATTTCATAAGAATTATATAAACATTCTAGGATAAAAGAGCTGTTGTACATTTACACAATGGAATACTACTTTGTTATACTAGTGAAAAAAAGGAAGTCTTAACCCGTTGCGATAGCATGAATAGACCTGGAGATTATTGTGCTAAGCAGAATAAACCAGTCAGAGAAAGACAGCTATCACATGATCTCACTTATATGTGGAATCAAAAGAGCAAAATAAACTAACAAACAAAATAGGACCAGAGGCATGGATAAATGGAACAGACTGACAGATCTCAGAGGGGAGGACTAGAAGAGAACAACCAAAGAATATATATGCATATATGCATAGCTCCTGGACAAAGAATAATGTGGTGAAGCCCCAGGGGAGGATGGGCAGAGTGGTGGGAGGCTAAAGGACTTGAGCTCTTTTTTTTTTTTTTAAATATATTTTATTGATTTTATACAGAGAGGAAGGGAGAGAGATAGAGAGTTAGAAACATCGATGGGAGAGAAACATCGATCAGCCGCCTCCTGCACATCTTCTACTGGGGATGTGCCCGAAACCCAGGTACATGCCCTTGACCGGAATCGAACCTGGGACCTTTCAGTCCGCAGGCCGATGCTCTATCCACTGAGCCAAACCGGTTTCGGCGACTTGAGCTCTTATCAGCACTTAACACCCTGTATTTAGGCTCTTAATATATGGTTCTTAGGTTGAAATGAACAAAAATGAATTCAGGAGCCGGGATTTTTAACTATGATATAAACCAGTTACTTTTCAGCACTTGGTACACAAAGGACTCAAATACTGCCTAATAACTACTTAATAGAATTACTGAAGTTATCCTCTTAGACATTTATTCAAAGTAGAATGGCAGAATAGCTATACTATTGAGATAATTAGAATTCAATAAAATAATGCAAACTCTATATTTAATCTTACTATTGATAAGGGAGATAGTCAAGGAAACAGTGAATTTGGCTTCCAAATGATAAGAGCGTTAAGGAAGCTGAGTTGTGCTTTGTGCCTCTGTAGGGCAATCACAGTGCTTGTTTAATTTAGTCATCATAATTTAAATCTCTGTCTTTGTATATTTCACAGAGAAAGAAATTGTATTAATTTATATAGTGTTCTTAAGATTTTGCATGCAGCTAACAGGATAAAGCTTCAGGAATGGAATTCAGATCTTTCTGACTGCCATGTGCCTACTCATCTAACCTCACTATACTATTAGAGAGAACCTCTTAACCTCACTAAATAAGTATACCAGTTCCTTCATACAGAAATATGAGAGTTTAAAAAACAAATGTGAAATTCTCAAGGGTAAAAATACTCAAGAATTTTCCTACTTTACTTTGAGAAACACAGTTCATAAGTAATACAAATATATCCTCTGAATTGAAAATTTGGCTTTTATAAGTTCATTTTGTGGTTATATCTAAAAATATGTGTTGTCTGTGCTTTATTTAAGACAATTGTTTAACCAAGTAATGTTTGGTTTGTCTATTTCATGACCTCTTCAAGAGTACTAAATCCAGCTTTCCCATCTTCATGGTACAACCCAAAAGGCTAACCTGCACTCCTCCTAGCATAGGTCCAAACTGATTTTCTTCCTCTTGTGTAATTATTGTGCCTTATAACAGACTAATTATGAATACATGGGCTGAAGAATGGTCTTACTTAAAGTCACTTATATAAATTATATGTGCACTTATAATTAACAAACTAATCAGGTTAATATATGGATAAATCCTTTTGTTGAAAAATAAAAATGAAACCTCTATAAGTTTGGCTCAATAGATATTTGTATGTATTAACAACAAGAAAACTAATTTGATAGCTAATATTTGAAATTACTTCATCAGCTTTAAAAAATCAACGAAAGTCAAATATATCAAGCAATCCTGTGACTTTAGAAATGCTTTTCTTCTTAAACTACATAAGTAGTATAAATTCATTCATATTGATATACTATTTTCTTTTAAATTTCATATTTTGATAGGAAACCTTTTATGTGTAACATTATACTAATACTTACTTCAGACTTGTGTGCTTGCTTTTTTGTGTTCTATAGAGCCAAGAAAATGATGAGCTAAGAGATGCCCATGAAAAACGCAAGGAAAGGCTACAGATGTTACAGACCAACTACAGGGCAGTAAAAGAGCAATTAAAACAGTGGGAAGAAGGCAATGGCATGTGAGTTACATAGCTCATAAAGGCATTTCCCTAAATATTAAATGAAATGGAGTAGCATCATATAAGTGTTTTAATGGCTTTTGTTTGATTTTAAAGAAATTATTTGTTGGTCAAATCTTTATTGTGAATTTTTAAATAGAGAATATAATAAATGAAAACAGAGAAATATGCTAGCAATAACTACAGGTTTTTCTATCATTTGCAGAAATCATTAGCATAAGTAATTATGAATTCTTATATAAATTTTTACTTCATTAGTGTAGCTTAATAAATGCTATAACTTAAAGCAAAAATTGTTCATATTTATTTGCTTGAAAACTATTTTAAATAAATAAAATATTGGTGTTACAATATTTATTACTCAAAAAGTATTTAAATTTTAATTGAAAGACAAGAGAAATATGAAATTCACACATATATAGTTAACTATCTTAAAACTAATTCAACTTAGTATGTAATTTGAAAATCTTTACTCTCCGTCAGTTTGTTCTGCAGCTTATCTGAATGAATTGGAGGTCTCAGTTTAATTGCTCTTGAACAGGTGTTCAGTTGTTGGTTAGTTGTGACACTCTTGTTAACAGTATCAACAAAGGGCAAAGGACTGAATGTGTACAGAAAATCTACTACCCTTTCATCTTTTGAGATGGATCCTTTAGGGCAATGTTGATGGTACACATTGGTCTATTCAATAGAGAAATACTATTTCTAAATTGGCCAGTACAGCACTTTTACAAAATAAAAACGAAGAGTTTATGTATAGAAAATGAAAACATAAAGGGCATTTGGCATGTTTTGTAGATCTAATTGTCACATCTAATTTTCTTCCTTTGAAGAATGGAAAATATTTCATATTGCTTGTCAGTAAAGCAGTGATAAAACAGTTTGTCAGTAAAGCAGTGATAAAACAATTTGTCAGTAAAGCAGTGATAAAACAATTTAGATGCTCACCTGACTTTTTAGTAGTCACTAGAAGTGTGAAAACTACTTTCTCCCATATTCACTGATAATAGCTTGATTGACTATAGCCTTTTTTAGAAACTGACAATCTTACAATGTATGTTTTATTACTAGTGGAATGAATGAGAAAAATAGAATATCATGTTTCTGCTTGAAAGTTTGCTTTCCACAGTAACAGTTTAACTTTTTAGGAAATTATGATACAGGATTTTAATTTCTATGTACTTAGGTTTTAGGGAATTCATTCCATAAATAGTGAGCTTGAATTAGATGTTTGGTCAATAGATATTTTTTAAATTTAGGGAATATTTATATGGATTTTTATTGCACTTTGAACATATGAAGGAAGAAAGCAACTTTATTTTTCTGATTTCAGTCCTATTTTTAAAATAAAGAGAGCAGATCCCCAACAACTTCGACAAGAAGATTCCGATGCTGTATGGAATGAACTGGCCTATTTCAAAAGGGAAAACCAGGAGCTAATGATTCAAAAGTGAGTTTCTTTTTTAACAGTATGGGCTTAGATAAACATTTGGGAGAAAGTTTTTGTGAATTAAAGGCCATGAGAGAAGTACCTTAGGAAATTTGGAAATAAAATCATCTTTTATTATGCCAATAAAATTTTTAAAAAGGACTAGTTTGTAAAATATATATGTATAATGCAATAACAAGTTGCACATTAGCTAGCTCTAGCCGCAACTGTATAATATGATCTAGGGATTGTGTTAATTAATGTGGCTCTCATCTGTTGGAGGTGTCGCTCTTCATTAGCCTGTATTTTAGACACTGCTGTGCTTCATTTTTGGAATGAGGTGGAGAGGGGATAACCTAGCCAGCCATCCTTGTTTGATCTCCTAGATACATACGCAGTGCAGAATGCCTGAGCTCTCTTGGTTCCCTGCCCTGTCCTGCTAATCCCAGTTGAGCTCATTATGGTGTAGCCTTGCTGCTACTTTTGGAGCCAGAGCTGTCCAAGCTAATTACTGGTAGCAGCAGAACTGCCTGTTAAGGGTCTGGTATGTATCTGCTAACATGGTCCTTGGTAGTGACCTGCAAAAGACACTAGGGAATTGCTTTCTTTCTTGCTGTGCAATGCCTGTCCTTTGGGCTTAATGCTGATCCCTCACATAGGTCTTTTAGCTGCCTTAAATATAAAACTTGATGAAGGATTCTCATATTTATAAAAACATACAGTTTGCTTCCTTGATCTTATAATTCACAGGCGATTATATTCAGCTTGGAAAAAAAAAAGCATGTTCTTTTTTTGAAACAAAAAGGAGGTGGAACAATATAATTAGCTCTTTAGCTACTTAACTATTTTCTCATTTAGAGTTAATTTTTGATATTCAGACCATGCAGTTTTGGGGAAAGCCTGGATGTTTTTTAGATTACTAGAACATAGCATTATGTGTGGAATAATTTAATTAAATATTGAATTATCTTAGCTATAATCAAAATCTTATATACTGTATAATACCACATGTAACTTTAGATTACTACCTTCTCTGTGTAATTGTAAACATTTGAGCAAATGATCATATCGGATTTAAATGTATACTTCCAATTACCTCTTAAAGTGTACTATACTCTATTAGTGCTATTTTTTCAATGCTAATAATAGTCTCTTATCTTGAAAATAATTTTGTAGATTTGTCCCAGAAATATTCCTTGATATTTTTAATAGCTCTATTGAAATATAATTCACAAGACATATAATACACTATATAAAGTGAATAGTTCAATAACTTTTAGTATATTTGAAGAGTTGTGCATCACAATAAATTTTAGAAGATTTTAATTAAGCCCCCCTAAAATCCCAACACCACTTAGCTGTGACCTCCCCAATTCTTCCACTCACATTTGTGAATATGTGTCCCTCCACCCACCAGCCCAACGTAACCACTAATCTACTTTCTGTGTCTATAGATTTGCCTATGCTGTATATTTCATATAAATGAAATTATACAACTTCTCTTCCTTTGTGACTAGCCCCTTTTCACTCAGCATAATGTTTTCCTAATGTTTATCCATATTGTAATACATATCAATACTTTCTCTGATAATCTTCGGTGTTCTTTTTAAATGAAAGTTAATTTTGGACAAACTGAATTAGGTGAGAAGACCTGACCTACTTAGTTGCAAGATCTAGTCTATTCAAGAAAATTTCAGACAGAGTTTAGCTATAAATGGGGATTATTTGGGATTTATTTTATTAATTAATGAAATAGAACTAAAGAAAAAATAATGCCTGTTTAAGAAAGTTAGAGAACTTCTTAGAACATTCTGTTCATTCAGCAATGTGTGTATGTTACAGGTAGCTCTTTGAATTAAATGTTAAGAATCATTACTAAAAGTGTGGAATTTTTCCTTCCTGAAATCTGTTTAAATTCATTTGTGATAGCCATTTGTAAATATAAGTATTAACTTAGTTAAACATAGTGAAATTTGGATTAATAAACTTTAAAGAATGATAAATAACTGATACAAACTTTAAATCATATAGTAGCGCTTTGTAGGGGGAGGGTTGAATTATTTTGTGAAACATTTAGTTAACAGTGTATTTGAGCTACTGCTCTGTGACAGGTACTGTGCTCTGTGAATGAAATGAGAGTTTTAGACACACTTTCTAATCTCAAGGAACGTCCTTGGAAACATGTTCAGTATTAAATGTTCAAATGAAATATGATGTTAAAATAAAACTAAAAGTATTATAGTGAAACAAGACTTACAAATGTAAATATTTTATTCATTAAAATTTGTTTATAACGAGGAACGAATTTATTTGCTTTTTAAAAGTTTATATATAGTAGGTGAATTTTTTAGCATATAGTTTTATGAGTTTTAACAGAGTGTATATATTTATATTTATATTATTATTTATATTTATATTTATATTATTTGTATTTATATTTATACAATAGATTTAAGTAACACCACTATCAGGATACGAACTAGTTCCATTATTTCAAAAAAAATTTCCTTTTTCTGCCTTTTTGTAGTCAAGACCCTAACTCCTGGCAACCACTGAATTATTCTCCCTCATATAGCTTTGCCTTTTTTCAGAATGTCATATGCATGGGATTATATAAGAGTTACCTTTTTGAGCCTGGCTTCTTTCACTCAGCAAAATGCCTTTGGGATTCATTCATATTGGTTCATCCAGTTTGTTCCTTTTTATTGCTAAATGGTATTCTGTTGTATGGATGTTCCACAGTGGATTTATTTATCTCCTGGAGAACATTTGGGTCTTTTCATCTTTTCGTGTGTGTTTTTTTCAATTATGAATAGACCTGCTGTATATGGGTTTTTGCATGAGAATAAGTTTTTGACTCTTTAAGGGAAATACTCCCATCCAAGTACTAACCAGGCCCGACCCTGCTTAGCTTCCGAGATCAGACGAGATCGGGCGCGTTCAGGGTGGTATGGCCGTAGACAAGGGAAATACTCTTAGTTGCCTTACTGGTATATGGTCAGTGCACGTATAACTATAAGAAACTGCCAAACTGTTTTCCAGAGTGGGTATACCATTTATCATTTCCACCAGGATGCATATGGGTCAAGTTGCTCTAATCCTCATCAGCATTTAGCTTTGTCATTATTTTTTTAGTGCATTGGTATCTCATTGTGATATTAATTTGCATTTCCCTAATGGCTAATGGTATTGATAATTTTCACGTGCTTATGTGCTGTCTTTATATCTTTTTTATGACTTTCTGTTCAAAATTTTTGCCCATTAAGAGCTGATAATTATTAAATCAATTAAATGATCATTGTCTTTTATATAGTCTTAATATAAGTCATTAATCAAATATGTGATTTGCAAGTATTTTCTTCCACTCTATAGATTACCTTTTCATTCTCTTAACAGTGTCTTTTACATGACAAAAGTTTTAATTTTAATGCTCAGCTTAATATTTTTTTTAATTTTATGGATCATAGCTTTGATGTCATATCTAATAACTATTTTCATGACCTGAGGTAACAAGTATTTTCTCCCACGTTTTCTTTGAAAAGTTTTATATTTAGCTCTGTGATCCATTTTGAGCTAGTATTTGTATAAGTTGTAAATTACAGGTTGAAGTTTATTTTATATTTTTTGCAAATTTTTGTCCAGTAGTATGAACATCACTTTTGAAAAGACTACCTTTTCTCTAATGAATTGCCTTTGTAACTGTCAAATATTAACTGAATATATTTTCTGTCAGCCTATTGCAAATTCTACTTATTTCCATTAATCTGAATCCCTAAACTTTAGTGAATACTACACTGTCTTGATTACTGTAGCTTTCTGAGGAGTCTTAAACTTAGTGTGAGTCAAATAGCTTTATTGTTTTTTAAAATTGTTATGGCTTTTCTTTCCTTTTTTTTTTTTATAAGTTTTAGCTACAAAAATAGGTAAGGAAAAATAGCTGTAGCTACCAAAGTAATGTAGGAATCTTGATTTGAATTCTGCTAAATCTATTGATCAGCTTGAAGAGAATTGACGTATTAACTATGTTGAGTCTTCTATTCCATGCATATGGTACGTTTCTTAATTTACTGAGATTCCTCTTATCAATGCTTTATAGTTTTATAATGTAGATTCTATATGTTTAATACTTTTGTTAGATTTATATTAAAAATGGTGAAGGGATTAAGCAAAATAAAAACAAAACAGTTCATAGACACTGATAGCAGTATGGTGATTATGAGGGAAATGAGGTTGGGGTAGGTAGAAAAAGGAAGAGAGGGATAAATGGTGACAGAAGGAGACTTGACTTTGGGTGGTGAACACAACACAATATAATATAGAGATAATGTATTATAGAATTGCATACTTGAAACCTATATAATTTTATTAACCAATGTCACCCCAATAAATTCAATAAATTTTTTTAAAAGTATAAAAAAACAGTATTTACATTTTGGAGCTATTCTAAATGGTATTATTTGCTAGTATATAGAGTAAGTTACATTTTTGCATGCTGACATTATATCTTTCACTAGAGGCCTGGTACATAAATTCATGCACGGGTCGGGTCCGGCTGGCCCATCCCAATAGGGGCCGATGGGGTAGGGCTGGCGGTGGGGAGGGGCCACAGGCGGTTGGTGGGCCAGCCCCGCCCCCTGGTCAAACTCCCAGTTGAACTCCCAGTCGAACTCTCGGTCGAAGGGACAATTTGCATGTTAACCTTTTATTATATAGAATTGTTATATGTTAATGAGCTAACTTTGCCATGTTATTATTTTGTTTCCTCTGTTTCCCTTTTCCTTCTTTCCAATGTGTTACTTGAACATTTTTTTTAGAATTACCTTTTTATTTTTCTATAGGGTTTTTGAATATATCTCTTTGAGTTAGTTTTTCAATGTTTGCTCTAAGTGTTATGTATACATTACCTTATGGTCTACTGGTATCAACATTTTACCATTTCAGGTGGAATGTAGAAACCTTAATATTATATTTGTCACTGTATGCTCCCTCCTTTATTATTTACTTGTCTTAAATATTTTCTC